GGGGTTGGAGGATTGATTGATTGGAAGTTGGAACTTGAGTTAATAGGTTTTTTGGGTTCCAATTTGAATGGTGGGGAAGTGGGAAATAAGAACCAAGATTGTGTAATGGTTTGGGACCTTTTAGTAGGATGAGTTCATAATTGATTTTAATTGGGCTAAAAAGAATTGTGGGTATGGAATCTTTGGGCTGGAAACGGGTTACTGTGCTAGAACCGGAGTTTCCACTAAAATTTTTTTGAACTTCACAAATCACAATGGATTTGGACTGGAGCTAGATGGGACTACAGCTCAGTCCAGCCCCTAGACCCACCCCCTTATCCATCATCTTAATTGTATATTAATCTAAAATTATAGTTCTCAATCACCTTAAGAATTCAGCCCCAGCTTATCTTCCATTCTTTAAAATAATAATAATAATTCTACATACTTATTTTCAACAGCATATTCACACAATAAAATATTCTACAAGCAAACTCAAAATTTTTCTTTACTTTTTAACAATATTTTCTCTAAAAAAATCACTATCTAAAATAATATTTTTTCAAAAAAATGCCCACCAAACAAGGGCTCAATGTTAAATACTATGGAGTTGTTATTTTATTCCCACTACACATGATCACCAAACGAGATGAATTAAATGATAAGATAAACAAAGTAAGTCTCATACTCGTATATTTAATTGACATTATCATTTCAATAACATTATTCGATGCTAAAAAATTAAAAATTCAATTGTTATGACTCGAGCACATTTGTGATAATTACATTGCATTCATCGTTGTTGTACAATCATATGGTAATTATAGATCTTCGTGATTCAGAATTATAAATGAATTCTCTATCGTCATGGAGTAATACTATTATAGCTCGAGTTGATTTGAACTTATAATCATGAAATCAACTCAATCAAAAACCCTAGGAGTACAAGAAGAAACTTAAAAATATAATAACTCTCTTTGATTAATGACAACTCTCCTATTACAAGAAGAAACTTCAAAAATTAGACTAGAAAGAAAGAAACTTTTTAATTATTAAAAATTAAAGGCTTTTCATAAAACAATTTAAAAGAACTAAGATACAACTCTTGTATAAAATTGGGGACCTCCACTGCTATTTCCCCAAAAAATTTCCAAATTCTGGAGCCCTAACGTATGCTCTCGAATTCCCTCCTAACAGGAAACGAACTTCACCTCTCAGCCACACCTGTCAGCCGTGATCACCGTTTGTAGTCCCGTTACCCGGCCACTCACCACCGTACTGCCCTCTTCTACACATCCAAATGGGGTTCTTCGACCTGAACATTCCCTACCATGAATCTGACCGCCACGTTATCGATAAATCCTCTCTAAAATCCCGCCGCCTAAAGCTCGCCCTAAAAGCCATGGAACTCGGCTACACTGGAGTGGCCTACAACCGTACCCTCAAAGGCGTGATTTCGGAATC